ATCAACATGAATCAACCATAGATATATGTAATGTACCCTCCCTTTTGAAACTCCCTTAGTTCTTTTAAAGAGTATTTGAACAAAAATGTTTGCAGACCAACGGGTTAGAGCTGGTATATGTTAATGAAGGTAAATTCATGAAGGGATCCTTACTGCCTCTACCTGCAAGACCCAGCAAAAGAAAGAAGACGATGACAGCAATGGGTCTGAAAATCCAACAGACTCTGCTGCCACATTAAAATAAACTCACTTCTCCTAGGCCATAAAGGTACAATCCAGAGGGTGACTGCAACCACAAAGCCCTTTCTAATCTGTGTCCCAGACACCTTAACTAATCCTTTCATTCTGGGTGCTGTCAAAAGGAGTTCACTTTCTACCCATTGAACAACAATTTGTTAAGAGAACAGATTTCACATTAAGTGTTCTTATTTTTACCACACACTAAAAAAAAAAAGGACACAAGGAAATTTTAGGAGGTGATGACTATGTTTATTACCTTAATGACGGTGACAGTATCACAGGTGTTTGCATACATGGGCAGTTTGGGGGGTATATCAATTGTGCCTCAATAAAGCTGTTTTTTAAAAATGAGAATGTATGCTAGACAAGATATCCTGACAAAGCCTATAGCAGAGCTCCTTCTTACTGAGTAAAAATTTCTATTAAAAAATATATATGTTTATTTATTTGGCTGTGCTGGGTTTTAGCTGGGTCACGGGGGATCTTCCATCTTGGTTGTGGCATGCAGGATCTTCAGTTGCAGCATGCAAACTCTTAGTTGTGGCTTATATAGGATCTTAGTTCCCTGAGAAGGGACTGAACTCAGGCACCAACAGTGAAAGTGCCAACTCCCAGCCACTGGACCATCAAGGAATGTCTATTGTCTAATTGTTAAGTATATAAAGTTCTCTAATGTTATTGTAAGTGGTATGTTTTTCCTTATTTCACAAAATGGAACTGTTGTATGCATTTTGATTTTGTCTTCAAAAATCTTGCAACATTGAATACATATTGTTAAGTGAAAAAACTTTCACTCCGTTTTCCAAAATGACATCACTCATGAAAACTCAGGTGTCTCCTTGGGCGATATATGGCTCATCTCGAAAGATCAGGTGTGCAATGGTCACTGGTTAAGAGAGACTCTGGACTGAGACAAGTCTGGGTGAGGTACCAGACGGATGAGTAGCAGCTGGGAACATGAGCAGATGACAAAACTTACGTCTCGTTTTCTGTAAAAGCACGCATTTAAATCCTTCCTTATTAGGATTATTCTGAGGATTAAATGAGGCAAAGCACATAAAGAACCCAGAACCTGGCATGCCAAAACACTGACTAAATGTTGACCCTAGATTAATCATAACGACTCTTGCTTGCCTGGTAATAGTTTTTTGTATTAAATTTTTTCCTTTTAAACACTTAATTATTGTGTTTAAATGAAAGAAATACTTTGCTTTCTCCTGCTGTAGTTAAAAACATTTCTCAGAATCACCATCTCAATCTCTCTTTCATCTTGTTCCAAGTCTTGTTCTAGATAAATACTGTTTTTCACATGATTTTTAAAAATCCATATTCCTCATACTCAGGTAGAAAAATAGAATCTTTTGCCCTTCAATGTAATGTACTGAATGTTTCATTCCCCTTCATAGGAACATTTATTTTTTCTTAAAAGTGATTTTATTCCCTACTCAAAATGAGAGTTAAAGTATCATACTGGGGTTATGCAAGACACTACCACTGGGGTAAGCTGGTTGAAGAGTACAAAGGACTTGCCTACACATTTTTTGTTTGTTTGTTTTGCAACTTCTTGTGAAACTGAAATTATTTTTAAAAATTTAAATAAGCAAATAAAAATAATTCTGCAAGTATTCTCTTGATCTTTTGCTCATTCTCTTGTATCTGATATGAATCCTTCCCTATTTTCCCAGAACCTCAATCCACTTAATTGAATTAAAGAGACATCACCATCATCACTGGTGATTTTCTAATATTTTACTGATCAGACCTCCCATTCCCCTCAAAATAACCACAAAAAAACCCAAGACTGAGTGAGGGTCAGTAACTAAACTATAAAAGAGAAATGTTTCATTTTCTTCTTATTCTTACTAATTCCTTGCTATGCAACATTAGCTATGTCAACAAACAAATGACACTAAAAATAGTACAGAGCACTAATTTTGGGTCATTAAGTTACTAACTCAAAAATTTGACTGGCATTTTTGGTTTTCAGTGACATTTTTAAAACCAACTATTTATTATGAAAAGAATACATCCATATACACCAACAGCAAAAAGGCTTAGCATATAAAAATGAACAGAAAACTGAAGTACAAATTTTAGAAAATGTCAAATTACCTATGTAGCATTAAGTCCAAAAAAATAGGAGGAATAATCTGCATATAGAAAGAATAGAAACACAAAACTCATCTTCATGATACCTAAGAGGACATTATAGCCATGAAAAATGCTATGGAAAAATAATTTGGCTCTTGGAAAACAAAAATACAATTAAAACAAGGGAGTAGTAGAGTACATAGCACAATGAACACAACTAAAATACTTGGGACATAACACACACACGTATACACACATGTCTATACACACACGTGTACACACACGTATACACACATGTATACACATGTATACACACGTATACACACAAATCTACATGGCACAAGGAAAGAGTTACACATCATGGTAATATGCCTAGAAGTTCTAATATCCACCTAATAGGAGGACTAGAAAGAGAGAGCAAACATAATGGAGAAGAAGAAATAATCAGGCATCTGAGAGAATGCTGACAAGCATGAAAAACAATACTAATGATAACTAACATTTATATATTGCTTACATATAGCAGGCATAAATAAGCATAGATATAATTATAATATGTTGATCCAGATATGCCCACATATTTACCACATACACATATGCATAGTTTAATTCATTACATCTATTATGTAAGAATTATTATCCTTGCTTTATAGATGAGAAAACTGAAGGAGAAAGTGTTAAGTAACTCAGTCAGGCTCACACAGCTGTGAGTGGGTGAGAGGGAAGTGCAACCTGAGTCATCATGCTTTAGTGGACAGGCTCCTAACCACGACATCCCAACCACTACATCCCACGTCTTCCAGCTCAAAGGGCCTCCATTAGTGTATCAAGCAACATTAATGAAAAAAGACCCACTCTAAGATAAAATATGTCTTGGTAAACTTTCTGAATTTCAATGATAAAAAGAAATGTATTAAAACTTTAGTGGAGGAGGTAAAGAAAGATTTCCCTCAAACAAAAAATAAATAAATTTCTACTAGGTTTCTGACTGGCAACTTTGAGTGCCAGAAGATAATGAAACAGTACACTCAAAGTTCTGAAGAATATAAGAAATATCTGAAAAAAATTCATGTTAATTACAGTCATCTACAAATGGTGAGGTTTGGGGTGAATTTTCTGTTACCAGCTTTTTCGTATTTTTCTCTCTTAATTTCTTATAATGATCATGTATTTTTGTGGAGAAAACTAAGATTATTGTTATAAAAATAAAGATATTCAAATGGATTAAATTTCTTAATAAAAAATAAAACTATAAATGCACTAAAACATTAGCAATAATTAATAAATTTAAAATATTAGGATAATATTTTCTCATCGAAGGGGATATGGTAAGGAAGACTGTCTACAGAAAAAAATTTTTAAAGGAAAAGACTAACAAATTTCACCGTATAGAAATGTTGAATTCTGACAGAACATAAGTTAAACAATATGTGTCAGGTGAGAAGAAAACATTAATATTTGCTACATACATAATATAAACCGTTCCTATAAGTCAACAGGAAAATAGTTTGTAAAAAAAAAAAAAAGCACAAAATTAGTAAAAAATACAGGCAATTTACAGAATAAAAAAATACGGAGTCAACACCCACTCAGCTTTCTTGTATTCAGAAAACAACGCATTTTAAGTAAAAAATAACGTATCATTTTTAACTCAACAAAATGACAAAAACTTAAAAGATGAATAGCACATAATGTTTTCAATACTGGAAAACAGGCAGTCTGATGCATTATGGAAGAGGAAGTAAATGGTACGTTTTGGAAGTGTAATTTCATGGTACCTGTCAAATTAAAAATTGTTTGGTGTGTTTCTGAACATTTATTTTATGGGAATACTTACTTCAGAACCGAAGCAGGGAGTGCAGCATTGTTTATCGAGTGACACACAAGTGCTATTCACTCGGATAAGACTTCCTTGGGTGACAAGTGCCTTCGCCCAGACTGTCTGGATATTTCACCCTTAATTGCTGGTGTACATGGCACAGCGTAAAGGTGATGGTCAAGTCTTCTTTTCACAGAGATCAAGTTTCTCCACATGAGCAGTCCTTGGAAAAACAGCTCACAGCTCACCGCTGGGCTTCATCAGCTAGAGACTGACCCCCAGAAGCTCCCACAGCAGCTGCCAAGATTTCTAGAATCGATACTAGAGCAGGAGTTTCCCATCTCCTCCCCCAAATCTGACGGGATATCATGTGATGTACTATATTGTAATATATAATCACACATTCTTGTACACTCCCACAATATTGCTATTTTCATGCATGCAGATGCAGCAAAGTGGTCATTTCTTTGTTTGTAATAAAACCCATCTGATTTCAGTTCACCAATCAATGCCAATCGATGAGTTGGGACTGAAGCCAACAAGTTGGAAAGTAGTAGTAATGAGTAAACATGATATACTATTACTTTTTTGAGCAAAACAGTGGATGCACTGTTCGGATTTTACCGTCTCTGAAGGCAAAAAACAGAAACCCAGAGGAAGCGTGAAACAGTGTTTGGATTCCCTTGATCCTGCCGAGTTTATTTACAATTCCCTCCTTCATCCTTCCTGCCTGTCCAGATGGTTTTTGTCTTTGTTTCCCAAACTGATTTATGTTCACTGTCTTTAAGATGTTAAATACCCTGAAAGCCTTCTTTCTAATTCCTCACAAGCAGAAGTCATAAATTCTTACCTTTGTCGAATTATGCTGGGGTTAGCTGTCACTAAATGACTTTTGGATCCAACATCCTTAGTGTATTCACTTGACAAAGGAGGAAGATTGCATCTAGAGAAACAAGAACAAGCTCTTCAGAATGATTTACATACTTTTAAAACAAGTCAAGTATCATGCAAATAGGAACTTACTAAATCTAGCTCAATTCACAAATAAATGATTTTTGTCACCTCTTCCCTTTAATAGAAGTTAGATGACTATTATAGCATCTTCAGAATGTTGTCATAAAAACTATTTCTGTGTTAGAAGAAAGAAAATGTCAGCAAGAGAGGTAAGGGATCTACTAAAGGAAAGAGATAGAACTACAGTGAATTTATTCCATTCAAAATATCTTTGAGGTGGTAAGTCAGGGTGCATTAGACTTGAAATGAGCATCTGGGGGTGTGGCCCCTGGGCAGTGGCCCCCAACCTTTTTAGGCTCCAGGGACTGATTTTCTTGGAAGACAACTTTCTCACAAACTGGGTGTGAGGGATGGTCTCCAGATGACTCAAGCACACTACATTTTGTGCACTTTATTTCTATTATTATTACACCAGCTTTACCTTAGATCATCAGGCATTAGATCCCAGAGGTTGGGGGCCCCTGTCCTAGAAGATACAGGACCTATAGTCCTCTCTGTGCATACAAACAAGCCTCAAGAGAAAAGGGAGAATTGCTTGTGTTTTTCATTCTTTTCCCAAATTCTAAATTATAAGAGTACATTCGAGGCAAACTCTGCCACCTAAATCAGTGCATTCATGCCCAGTGTATGGTTGACTTTCAGTGAAAATGCTTTGTCATCCAACAAAATGCAGTGATTCTCCACCATCCCAGTCTAGACAAGGGAAAGAGTACCAGGAAAAGAGATAGCCCCTCCTCCCTCCCACATACACCAGCCTGCCCTGGGTGCTCTCCTTGACTGCAGTGTCTTATGAATGCTTACAATGGAAAATGCTGCAACTGCAAATTCAATCTCATGGCTTTCTACTAGTGGGCTCTTATCCAAGTTATGACATCTGCCTCAGTTTCCCCATTACAAAATGAGGATAATGACTTTTCCTCTCCAATAAGCTGGTTGTAAGGATTAAAGTAAGAAATGTATTAAAAAGTCCCTACCCTGATGCCTCACACATAGTAAAAGCTCAAAAATATCCCATATCAGACATATCATATCTTGGTAACTCAGTTAATCACTCAGTCACGTCTGACTCTGCGATCCCATGGGTTATAGCCTGCCAGGCTCCTCCATCCATGAAATTCTCTAGTCAACAATCCATTCCCTCCTCCAGGGTATCTTCCCAACGCAAGGATGGAACTCGAGTCTCCTGCACTATAGGCAGATTCTTTATCACTGAGCCACCAGAGAAGCCCCAAGAATACTGGAGTGGGTTGCCATGATCGTATAAATATAACTAAATACATCTTTATTACTTATGACCACCCCAAATGAGTCTATAGCTTCCACTGGATTTTTCTTTTATTACTGAGTCCTGATTTCTCCTCTCCAGCCATATCTCTAAGTTGACTCCAACCATCAGAGCACCTCTAACTTTGTATTATTTCAGCAAAGTAAAGCATCATTTATTTGTTGTTAGAGATCTTACAAATATCAATGCCTCAGCCATTTCCCAACTATTAAAATTTCCCAGGCAAATTTCCCCCAGGACATGGGGTTGTCTGAAAATCGACTCAGCTGATCAGCACAAGTTCCTTGATGTTGTCTTGTATTTACCCCTGTGACGCCCACCACATCAGGGCATCTGAGGTAGAAATTTGTCTCACTTGATTTGGGATCTTCCTTTCATCTGCTCTTTGGTAATAAGATCCTGATTCTTCTGACAGCTCCCCGCAGAGTAATGAGTCAGCCAGTTGCTGACTTTCGCTGAGTGCCCATTGAAAACAAACACAATGAGCATTGTGAGAAGCCTGGGGGAAGCCGAGTCTCAGAGCCTACTTGAGGCGTCCACATCACATCCATGTGGTTTCTGAGGACTGTGCTGGGGAATGAGTTTACTCATAATGGCCAGGCTCATCTGACCATGGTGCTGACCTTGGGATTCAACTGATCTCTGCCAAGATGAACAGGACTCCCAGGATAAAACAGAGGGTAGAATTCGAGCCTCTTTTTCTCTCTTTTCTTGGATGAATATAATTATTTACTTAGCTCTTTTAGTTTTTATTGGAATATAGTTGATTTACAATGCTATGTTAATTTCAAGTGTTTACAGCAAAGGGAATCAGTTATACATATATATTGATATATTCCCATTCTTTTTCAAATTCCTAGGTTATGACAGAATACGGAGTAGAATTCCCTGTTCTATATAGTAGGTCCTTCTTAGTTAACTGTTTTATATATAGTAGTGTGTGTATGTTAATTCCAAACTCCTAATAAATCACTTCCTCTTCAGTCTTGATGGCCTTTCATAACATTTGAGAATCAATCTCACTATATTAAAACTGTAAACTCTATTGCTAGGAAGTGCAGTCGACCTATTCTATCATCAGTAAATGAAAGGAGTTGGTGCTCATGAATAACAGCTTTGTTTTTCTGTGTGTTCCTTGTAGTTTGATCTACGGCTCATATGTCTGGATCCCTTCATGCCTTCTTTGTTGTCCATTCGCTCAGTCATGTCAGACTCTTTGTGACCCCATGGACTACAGCACACCAGGCTTCCCTGTCTTTGACCATCTCCCAGAGTTTGTTCAAACGCATGTCCGTTGAGTCGGTGATGCCATCCAGCCATCTCATCCTCTGTCATCCCCTTCTCCTGCCTTCAATCTTGTCCAGCATCAGGGTCTTTTCCAATCAGTCAGCTCTCTGCATCAGGTGGCCAAACTATTGGAGCTTCAGCATCCATCCTTCCAACAAATATTCAGGGTTGATTTTCTTTAGGATTGACTGGTTTGATCTCTCTGACGTCCAAGGGACTCTCAAGAGTCTTCTCCAACACCATAGTTTGAAAGCATCAACTCTTCAGCACTCAACCTTCTTTATGGTCCAACTTTCACATTCGTACATGACTGCTGGAAAAATCACACCTTTGACTATACAGACACCTCCTATCACAAAGCAAAACCTCAGAAATACACTTCCAGAGACTAAATGCCAAATTCTACAACATAGTGAAATGTTTAAAACAATAAGGATAATATTTTATACATCCATTTCTGGAAAACAATGCCATTGTACTCTGGTATAAATAACTGTTCTTCTGGGTAAACTTTCTCTTCAAGTACGAATGCCTGTGATACCTCTCTGCAGCTCTCAGGGAAAAAAAAGCACACTGTAATTTTAGCTCAACTCCTAAATTGATAATTACATAGATTTACATAAAAGGCACATTTAATACAGTCAACTTGTTTCTTATAAGGCATAATTGTGTAAACGTGTTCCAAACGTTGCTTTATTGCTTATTGGCACAATGAATGGATATTACTGGCTGAAGTGTCTTAGTAACTGTGCGCGGGATCATAGAGGATGTGGCCACAGAATTGCTGAGAAATGAAAATTCTTTGAAGTGGGAAGTGGAGATGAGTGGGGAATGGGTAGAAAGGAATAGAATACATTTAAAATTTCCTTTTTAAATTATATGTATACTTCAATACATAAAACACATATAATTGAGTATAATTCACAGGCACCAAAATTATATTGTCTTCACTCGTATTCCTGAGCCACCCAATTTCTCACCAGGATATAATCACTGTTACCTCTGTCTTTCAGAACTTCAAGATAAATGATATTTAACGATATTACTTTTTTAAAGTTTCACTTTTGGTTACAGAGCAAATGTTTACTTTGAAATATGAGAAGGTACATTTTAGCATTAGAAGACGTGCCTGAAAATGTCCAAGCAAAGGAAATTATGGCATTGTTACAATTCTGGAAAACATCTTGAACTGTAATAGGGTACACCATTGTGTATAGGTAAGGCTATTTTGGGATCTCATCTTTCACTGTAACGCTCCATGTACCCTATAATCTAGGGTCAGACATACATGTTTCTAATCATAGTCACTAACCAAGTGTTCCATTTTGAATATATGTTATTACCTCAATTTTCTCAAGGAGTCCCCAAAATGTGTATTAATCAACCATGTATAAATAGATCCATAAGTGGTCAAATAAGAATAATTTACAATTAATCAACATTTAATTATTCCCATATTATAAATTCTTTGTGTGTGTGTGTGTACTCAGTCGTGTTGGACTCTTTGCGACCACAAGGACTGTAGCCTGCCAGGCTCCTCTGTCCTTGGGACTTTCCAGGCAACAATACTGGAGGGGATTGCCATTTCCATCTCCAGAGGATCTTCCTGACCCAGGGATCAAACCTGTGTCTCCCATGTCTCCTGCATTGCAAGCGGATTCTTTCCTGCTGAGCCACTGGGGAAGGCCCACAAACTATCAATTCAATTCAGTCACTCAGTCGTGTCCAACTCTTTGTGACCCCATGGACTGCAGCACACCAGGCTTCCCTGTCCATCACCAAAGAGCTTGCTCAAACTCATGTCCATCGAGTTGGTGATGTCATCCAACCATCTCATCTTCTGTTGTCCCCTTCTCCTCCTGCCTTCAGTCTTTCCCAGCATCAGGGTCTTTCCAATAAGTCACTTCTTCCTCTCAGGTGGCCAAAGTAGTGGAGCTTCAGTTTCAGCATCAGTCCTTCTAATGAGTATTCAGGACTGATTTCCTTTAGGATGGACTGGTTGGATCTCCTTGCTGTCCAAGGGACTCTCAAGAGTCTTCTCCAACACTACAGTTCAAAAGCATCAATTCTTCAGTGCTCAGCCCTCTTTACAGTCCAACTCTCACATACATACATGACTACTGGAAAAATCATAGCTTTGTCAGCAAAGTGATGTCTCTTCTTTTTAATATGCTGTCTAGGTTGGTCATAGCTTTTCTTCCAAGGAGCAAGCATCTTTTAATTTCACAGCTACAGTCACCATCTGCAGTGATTTTGGAGCCCAAAATAATAAAGTCTGTCACTGTTTCCATTGTTTCCCCATCTATTTGCCATGAACTATAAATAAAACTTTTTAAAGATTCAAATGTATTATGACAACAGCACCATTCTTGAAATTGAATCAAAGGTACATGCACACATACCTTTAGTTTTGAAGCTGCCTTCTTTGAATTCTTTTCAATCCTCACCTCCCTCATCATCCCATGAACATCCTATGAACATTGTTTAATCCTGTGCTGTGCACCCTAATCACAGGCACTTATTAATTTTGAATGTGAATATATCAACATTGATTGTATACAATACAAATGTAGTCTTGTGTATTTGTAATAAATAAATATGGATAACCCCATAAGATGCTTAAGTCTGATCTTCTGCACATTAAGTTTAAAAAATATCCATCTTCCTAAATGTGGTGACACACACATGTGTGCTCAGGAATAATTTAAGAAAACACATTTATTGTACTGCCTCCCTCTACACTGTAGATGTCTTAAAATCACTTAACTTTCCTGAATCTGTGAATATAATATTTCCACTTCTTCTTCCTTACATAGTTTCTGGAAAAAGCAAGTCAACTTATACTCGAGAGCAATATGAAAAATCAAACTAGACTACGTGAATGTGTTACAGTTGTGTGATAGTCACATTATCACGGAATCAGAGTTTCCACAATGGAAAAGGCTTAGGGAACTGTCTGCAGCCACCTCTGCACAGAGATTATCAGAAAGCTGAGCTGCAGCAAAGGTACCACGGTGCGCTGTGGGTCACAGAGCAAATCTGTGGCAAGGGCTGGTCCTTCCTCTGAGTTTTCTTTGCCCTCAGAGCCCCCCTAATGCCAGCGTCATGGAGGGGTGCCTCTGCACTCCTCCTACACTCTGCTCTCCAGGTGATCGTCTCCGCTTCTATAGCTACCAGCTCACCATGCTCACCCACGGCTCACAGCCCTGCAGAGCCTTGGTGTCCTTCCCACATTAGAGCTTGGAAAGGCTGGCCTGTGCCCACAGTGGAATGGACAGAGGGCTCCGTCCAGACACCCCTTCCCCACAGAAGGACCCCACTCACTCATCGTTTACCTCTGAGCCATCCTGGCCTCGGCAATGACACAGCTCCAGATTCTAAGTCCATGATGGAACTGTCCAACGTACCATTTCCAACCCCAGTGAAGACCCAATACAGATCAGGTACTGACTAAGCAGATGCTGACCTGAATTAAGAGAAGTACACTTTCCTCTTCTCCTCTCTTCTATTTTCATTATCTTTCCTGTCTTCTATTTTTATTGCAAAAATTAATCATTACAGTGGAGAGAAAAACACAGTCGCACACTGGAAAAACTAGGGCAGGGCACCTCCATAAAGGAAAGAAAGAAAAGGATTCTCCCTCCGCCGCAGGCTTCACCAGTAAGATGAAGTCTTCTGAGGAGCCCAATCCTTGCTCTCTCAGAAGGAACTTGACCCTCCCCCTTGAAATGGCTTCCTTGAAATGCTCTCAGACAAGCTTTACTCTCCCCTACTCCACTTAGCTAAGAGCCCAGGGGTGTCTAAGCGTCTCCTCAGCTACCTTTTTTTTTTTTCGGTCACTTTAGACCATTATTTATTTATCCTTATTATCCTTAAAAGTGAACACAAAACCCCAACCTCTACCCCCCCCCTTCAGCTTTCCGCCCTCTGTGTTGCTTGAGGCATCAGTCATCCTGGCCCCAGAGCCTTCTCAGAAGGAAAAGAATCTGCCTGCAATGCAGGAGACCCCAGGTTCGATCCCTGAGTTGAGAGAATCCCCTGGAGAAGGAAATGGCAACCCACTCCGGTATTCTTGCCTGAAGAATTCCACGGGCAGAGGAGTCTGGGGGGCTACAGTTAGACATAACTCAGCGACCAACACAAAGCCTCAATGCCTCACTTATTCCCACTTCAAGGAGACTTTGGGCCATCGTGTAAGACCCTCCCCAGAGTAGCCTCCAAGCTCCTACATTTCTTCAGTAACAAGTGTCCTCTTTGTCTACAGCATGTCTGCTCATCCCAGAGAAGCTGACGTCAGAGTCTCAAGAAGTCACATGTTACAGTGGGCCATTCTTTGACACTAACTCTCATTTTTCCATCTTCTTTTATCTTTCCCATTTCCAGTCCCTCAGCTCTGAAAGGCCCCATCATATGGCCCCGTTGCGCCCCTTCCTTTCTCCAGGCCTCTCAGGACCAACTTCCTTCCAGCTCAGATTCCAAAGTGTGTCCTTCACACTCTCTCCAGCCATGCAGTCCCTCCTCACCCTTGTCCCCTCTCCCTGAGACAATCCCAAGCCTGTGTCCACTTGAGCACTCACTGTCTTTCCTTCTGATCAAAATCACCCAACGGTGCAGGCTGGCACCATTTCAGTGTCACGGTCTCTATCCTCGCTGGGTGTGTCCTAGCAGTCCCTTTCCACATGCCTGCAGGAACCTCCTGTTTTCCAGTACAAGCGACATCCCGTCACCACTCCACTCAGTTCCCTTACTAAGCTGCCACTTTGCTCAAAGTGTATTCCCCCTCCTTCCTTCCAGTTCTCCTAGTCCTGCACAGATCCACTGCCTCTCCAAATTCCATCACTACTTCCAAACGGTTTTGTGAAAAACAAAGCAGCAAAGTGTGCAGAATGAAATGAACTAATGAAATCGTTTATTCATTGAGAATTCGTCTTAAGGACGTTTCAAAGTTGGAGTCACCCAACTGTATCATCTAAAATAAGATGAGTGTTTCCACTTTGGGTATCTCCTCTTGACCTCTGAGTTTTTCTTTTTTTCCCATTTATTTTTATTGGTTGGAGGCTAATTACTTACTTTACAATATTGTAGTGGTTTTTGTCATACATTGACATGAATCAGCCATGGATTTACATGTGTTCCCCATCCCGATCCCCCCTCCCACCTCCCTCTCCACCCGATCCCTCTGGGTCTTCCCAGTGCACCAGCCCCGAGCACTTGTCTCATGCAGCCAACCTGGGCTAGTGATCTGTTTCACCCTAGATAATGTACATGTTTCGATGCTGTTCTCTCGAAACATCCCACCCTCGCCTTCTCCCACAGAGTCCACAAGTCTGTTCTGTACATCTATATCTCTTTTTCTGTTTTGCATATAGGGTTATCGTTACCATCTTTCTAAATTCCATATATATGCGTTAGTATACTGTATGAGTGTTTCTTTTCTTGTGCTTTCTTGGGGCCCGTTCCTCAACTCACTTGTATGTGAACTTGGAGGGAGGTTGAAGAGACGCTACAGCTGATTAATCACCAGTGACTGGTCTCCAAAGGCCCCTGGGGCTGGTGGGAGGGGAGGGACAGGAGAGAAGGCGGAGGCCGCACTGTGGGAGCTCTCTTACCGCATGACAAAATCTGCTTCATCTATTTGACGGCCACAGCCGCTCTTCTTCAGAATCCCACCATTTCCCACCACCGCGCATTTCTTCAAGGGCAGCTGGAATGGGGTTGCCTAGCAACAGAAAACAAGGCGGGTTTTCACTACAGAGAACACACAACAGCTCACCAAATCATTGTTTACAGCAGACCTGACGGAGAATTTGACTGAAGACTGGGCAGAGTGAAAAGAGTGCATAGAAAGAAAGATGCCAGGCAGCCTGCGAGGAGCCAACTAGCCCGTTCCTTTGAAATAAAAGCATTTCTTTTTTAATTCCCTGAAGTGGATTTCAATACAACCACATTTGGGGTATCAAACTGGCCATGTAGGGAGCGACTGCTAAGGAAAATGGAAAAATTCCCACTAGGCACTGGATTCTTTTCAAAGGCATTAAGCTGGGGACAAACTCAAATGAATTCTACTCCCCTATTTGGACGCACTTTCATTCGTTCATACAATCAATCATTCACTCAACAAATGTTGCTGAGCATTTCCTATGCTAACTGTTGGGGATAAACCCAAAGACAGTGAATCACAGGTCTCAGGATTCACAGTCTGGGATGTGAGCAGAGTGTGAATATATAAGCTTATGTAACAGACTGTATTGTGAGGGTGACCTCACTGTACAACAGGCATGTTTCACATGTTGTGGGGAAGCCAGAGAGGGACGAGAAGGCACATCTGTAAAGCCGGCTCAGGGAGAACTTTCTTACTTGAGATGAATCTTTAAGGATGAGTAGGATTTTGCAGGCAGGGAGAGCAGCATCAACAGGTGCAGAAGCATGCTGAGAGCGACTGCAGGGTTTATGAGCAAACGCACACTCTGAGTAGGGTCTGTCTAGAACTTAGGAGTGACTCAGGGGCAAGTTTCTTGTGTCCAACCAGGCAGCATGTGACTTTCTGCAGACACTGACCTGGACTGCAAAGAAAATGCCCCATGTACCTGAATGTTCCCTGGAGTGCTATTTATAGTACCAGGGACTATCAAAACCCAGCAACAGCCCCTGGAAGTGAAATGTGACATTCAGTCTCTTTTAGCTGGGTCAGCAAGAACCACAGCACAGCATTTCCTGCTTGCTGAAACCAGGCACAGTGGTTGGCAGTCTCTGCGGGAAGACCTAACATCCGTATAAAATAACCAGGTCCATATTAAGCCACCATTGTTGATGAGTCTGAGGGCATCATATGGATTACACCAAAAGAATACATGATTATATGACCATATGCACATAGGAATAAATAATTAAAGCAGAAGAATGAAATTCCAGGAGTATACAGTCACTGGAAGCTGAGGGGCACTCAGCAAAGCCCGAGAAGGAAATGTAACTTCCTTGATTTCTAGTTCGTAAAAGGAACAGCCAGAGCTCTGACAATAAAGGTGATGAAGATACAGCACTGAAACTGCAGTGTCCAAGCATATGGCTGCAGATGGAAAAGACTTCCCGGAGTCTGTCCAGTGACCTCCAGAGCAGGGTACAGAGAAGGAGGGTCAGGCAAAGGGCTATACTCCAACTCTCTGGGATAAGCCAGGATGATACGTGGCATTTTTCTCAGTCACTCCGGGGAGGAAGATTTGAATCAATACTAGAAATACACGAGTAAGATCTGTAATATGTTAGATGTAGATTTAGGTATTTATGCTCAAGTTAACTGCTCTCTTATTCCACAAATATTTACTAGGTGCCTACTATGTTCCAAGTACTGTCCTGGGTGACCAGGACATAATAACCCCTGTTCACAAGGAGGGCAGATTCTAGTGGGAAATGGCTGATAAAGACAAATGAATAAAACAAACAGAATATCATATGGTGGAGAGAAAGAAATCACTGGCATGAGAAAATCAGGAAATACTTTTGAAGAAAACCTGCCATTGAACTAGGGTGGTCAGGAGATACGGAAGCAAATCCCTGAAGGTGAGGGGGTAGTGAGCCTTATAGGCACCTGGGGGAGTCGCTGGGGCAGACGGGGAACAGGGACACTCCTGGGTTTTAAATGTAGAGAAAGAGGCCATTGTGCCTGGAGATGAGTAAGCAAGGGACAGAGGAGAAGAGATCAGAGACAGCTGGTAGGAAGGTTGGGGAACAAATTCTATGGGCTTTGGAGGATACTGTAAAGACTCTAAATTTTATTCTCAGATGAGAATCAAGTCAAGGTAGGGTGAGCAAAGGAGTGGCATTCTGTCATATTCTGGAACAATCACTCTGCTGTTGTGTAAATAGGCTGCAAGATGTCATGCACAGAAAGAAAGAGACCAGTCTCCTGAAATGACAGGCTAGAGATTATGGTGGCCTGGGCTAGAGTCAGAGCAGTGGGGGTGGTTGGAAGTAAGCAGATTTTGGAGATGTTTTTGAGGAAGACCTGACCAGAGTTGCAATGAAAATAGGATAAGAGAAAAAGACGACTCGAGAACAATGCCAAGGTTGGGGCTCAGCCAACTGTAAAGATATGTGACATGGATAATAACAGAGAAGCAAATTTGGGTGAGATGACTTGGAGTTCGCTTTTAAGTATGTAAAATATGAAATCTCCACTAGCCATTTAACTGGTGACGTCAAATAAGCAGTTGAATATGTGAGAATACAGTCAGGGAACCGGTTTCTCCTGAAGATAGAAAGCTGGGGGTGATGAGCATACAATTGGTATTTAAAATCAGAGGATGACCTGGTGAGTGAGTTTAGACAGGAAAGAAAGGAGGTCTTAGATCTGAATCTCCAGATGCTCCAACAAGAAAGAAGTCAGGAGACTGAGAAGTAGGTAAAAGAGACTGAGGAATGGCCAATGGAATGGGAGGAAAAAAACAGGAAAGTAACCTGTCTTGGAAGTAAGTTTTTGGTTTTTTTTTTTTAAGTATCTAAAGATACTCAAGAATAACAGGGGAAAACTGCAGCAAATGCTATTGATAGATTATATAAAATAAGAGCTGAAAATTGCCACAGGAGTTTGAACACAGAGGTCAATGGTAACCTTCACCAGGACAGATCTGGTTCAGAAGTGAGAATAGAAGCCTGATCTGAGTACAGTGAGTAATATGTGGATATTTGCAACTATTTGTATATAGTTTATGTGAAAAATGTGGTCTCGCTCATGCTCAACTAGTATTTAGTTTGCTTTGTAAAAGCCAACTTAAGCCCCCCTTCCCAACCCCCATCCCACCCCCGTTAAGGAAAAGTCCCTGGACCAGATCGACTGGCAATCTCAGTTTTCTGAACAAGAATCTGGGCACAGAACATGCGAATCTGGAAAGCAGAAGTAGCAGCATAAACCTGGGTACAAATACTACCTCCTAACTTCCAGATTGTGGGACTCCTTGACACTTCACTTCCCGTCTCTAAAGAGGGGACATGCTGCACAGGATTACATGAAACGACAGAGGTAAAGCATTTCACCAAGCCACCAACAGGGTGGTTCCCCCGTTATCCTTCTCCCTCTTCTTTCACCTTTTTCCTCTTCCTAGCAAGGTCTACTGACTTGTTCAAGCCACAGAATACTCAGATTCCATGAGTTTGGGGGAATACATGGTAAAAGAGTGATCCTCAAAATCTTATCTTAACACAGATGATTTTATGGCAGAAAATTTACCTATTTTCTATGGTGTTTACCTATTTGGGTAAAGAATCCTGCCTGCCAATGCAAGAGACTCAAGAGACGTGGGTTTGATTCCTGGATCAAGAAGATCCGCTGGAGGAAGAAATGGCAACCCACTCCGTTTTGCCAGGGAAACTCCATGGACAGAGGAGCCTGGTGGGCTACATTCTATGGGGTTGCAAATGAGTCGGACAAGACTGCACACACACACATACACATGCAATATTTCTGTATGTATAAAGTGAAGCCACTTAGTCGTGTCTGACTCTTTGCGACCCCATGGACTGTAACCTACCAGGCTCCTCTGTCCATCAGATTTACCAAGCAAGAATACTAGAGTGGATTGCCATTTCCTTCTCCATGGGATCTTCCCGACTCAGGGATTGAACCCAGGTCTCCTGCATTGCAGGCAGACGCTTTACCATCTGAGCCACCAGGGAAGCCCCTTCTGTATGTGTGTATGTATATAAATATATATACTTTTCGGTCTTTGAACAGAAGCCTAGTTGAGGAGGAAGCCATTTATGAGTGTGAGCTGGTAATATTTTCTTACTTCCTCTTCATTTGGTCAATGCTGGCCTTCACACAGCAATTTCATTTCAATAACTGTTTCTCCAGTGCCCTGAGTGCACTCTTCAGGGCATTGGCAACAGCAAACAAAACAGCTCACCAAAGTTTAAAAAGGAAAAACTTAATAAGGAAAATACTGTGAAATTGTTTTAATTAATTGAGATAATATTATCATTACTCTATTTCAGATGCAGAATATCTCAACTTGGCAATGATCAATGCTTATTAGAATGATGTGTGAACAAGGTGTTCTCCGTTTGGTGCATATTACACAGAAAGGGGGGCTTCCCAGTTGGTGCTAGTGGTAAAGAACCCACCTGCCAACGCAGGAAACTAAAACAGATGTGGTTTCGATCCCTGGGTTGGGAAGATCCCCTGGAGGAGGGCATGGCAACCTGCTCCCGTATTCTTGCCTGGAGAATCCCATGGACAGAGGAGCCTGGTGGGCTACAGTCCATGGGGTCACAAAGAGTTGGACACAACTGAAGCAACTTAGCACATAACACATCCACATAGAAAGAACTGATAATGTTTTGGATAATCCATTTCCACATAAAGATTATAATTCTGTTAAGGAGTATTTTTATTAAGTTACTAACTTCATTCTTTATTTTCAAAGGTATCTCCTTGCATCCACGTAAGAAAATATCTACTAGATCTGAGAACATAGTACTATGCTACAACACTCCTTGTGCTAACCTTTAAAATACCACTCTAAATGAAAGACTGGATTAGGCAAATTGATTATAGCCATGGGCTCAAAGTATTGCATGACCACCAATTCACCTTATAAATCTTTGTCCAAGTTTTTTCACCTATCACTGTTCCATCTGTTAATGGCTATCTTCTTAATGACTATATTATATTAACCATCTGGATTCAAATTATGGTTTGTCAGGCCCCTCAAACTCTCAGTGCTT